GGATCTAACAGGTTAAAAAAAAGTGTTATTTTTAAAATTCTCTGAATAAATAATTCAAAAGGGGGAATAATAATTCCTTCACTAAACTCTTTCCTATGCCAACAACTGAACAGGCCGAACCAATGTAACTTGTACCTCTGTTCCACTCTGTAACATTTGCTGTAAACTATCCATGAAATGTATCAGGTTCAACATCACGCTCTCCTGCTCTCTGTAGGATTTCACTCCTCTGCTCAAACTGCCAAACGCTCAGACAGAGCCATGCATTTCTAATTCTGATTAATCTGTTCATCGGTGCACATCGTTTAGAAACCCCATGCAGCATCTCTGGTATATTTTGCAAGGATATAGCAGGGCCAGAAAAAGAAAAGTATTGCTACTTTTCTGAAAAATTCCTAACAAACTTCCAGGGCAGGTGGAGCCCGGGGTGGAAACCAGTGTGAACTGTGTGAAGGGGGCAGAGCCCCAGGCTTTACACTCATCCTTCTGGATGCCTTTTAGTGGCTGACTGGAGCTCACCGGTTACGTTTCCTGTTCCCTTCCTGTTCTCTCCCTCCTGGGCTCTGTCGCCAGCTTTTTCTCACCCACGTCCCCAAAGAACATGCCAATTTGGTCTGCCAAGCCTTTGTTCTTTCCCTCCAGAATATTCCCAGACAACCGCTAACTTCAAATCTCCTCTCCCCATCTCTCTCTGGCGGCCCGGCCGGACATCAGCGAAAATCAAGAAGGTAACAGGCTGCGCGGGTGGGTCTGGATCAGCCTGGGGACTGTGGATCTGAGTTAATTGTAACCACAACTCACTCACTCTCAGGAAGCAACAGAGGTCCTGTTCGAAACAATTTACATGCATTAACTTACTCAATCCCTGGGACAATCCTATGATGTCGCTACTACTGGAAACCCCATTTCACAGATGAGAAACTGAGGCAGCAGAAGGATAAGTGGGTGAGTGTCCAAGGTCATGGAGCTGGTGAGTGACAGGATTTGAACCGGGCGGTCTGGGTCCAGAATCCAAGCGCTTGGTCACTGGGCCAGGCTGACTGTTGGACAAGTTCAACAGAGGGAAAAGACCCCTCTGTGCCCGGAGTGGAGACCAGCCTCTGGTCAAACCCAGACTCTGTCTACAGTCCCCAGCTGAGGGCCCCCTGGACAGGGCTGGCAGGCCGCCCCCGGAGTGGTAAGCTCTTATTTATGACTACCCTGCTAAATCCATTTTGTCTTCTTCTGGGAACGGCACCCTGGGAATATTCCTTATGGTAAGTACCCTGCCTGTTCTCAGCCCACATGGCTCTGGCAGGGTCAACTCACCCCAAGAGGCGTTCCCCCAGGTTCAAGAACAGGCACGTGACCCAGACCTGGCCAATCAATGCAGCCCATCCTCCAGGCACAGCAGTGAATTTAGCGATAGGTATTAGGAGAGTTAGCTAAAGCAAGCACTTTTAACACCAGAGTGGCCCATCCCGCAGGACATGCTGGACCGGACCACACGGCAGAGTCGAGTCAAACCCAGGGCTCTCCAGCTCCAAGGATAAGCCCCTCCGTTAGGATGCTCCTGGGTCACAACTGTTCTGAGCGCAGTGGGGCCGGGTTGTGCTTGTGCCTTCCTCTGCCACAGGACAGCTAGGGGGACACCCCTACAGAGCCCTTCCTGCAATATTCTAGAATTGCCGCTCTGAGGGCAGCCTCCCCCAGCAGACTGTGGGGCTCCTGTCCATCCAGCCCGACACCCCCAGGCCTGGCGGCGGTCTGAAATATACATAAACTACCTCAAAAACCTGGCCGCCCGAAACCAAAGCCACTAGCCACATGTGGCAGTTGAAATTCAAATTAAGTAAAAATTTGAAAATTCAGTTCCTCGCTGGTACTGGCCACGTGTCAAGGGCTCAGCAGCACACGTGGCCACGAGCGGCTGCTGAATTCACAGGATATCGCCCACCTCCACATCACAGAAAGTTCTGCTCTAGGACAGGTAGGACCTCTAGAAAGGCGAGCAGGAGAACTGGGGAGAACGGGGAAGGGGAATTATTCTTCGCAGGTAATCTTTAGCAGTACTTGAGCTTTTTTTTTTTTTTTAATCACATCATACACCATTTCCTATGCAAAAATGACCACTTTTAAACTTTACTTTGGGCAGGTGAATGAGAAAGGGCGGCATGGGGGAGTGGGGCTCCCAATCTTGATCCTCCCCCTCCGCAACCTCAGGGTCCTCTGGGTGATTTGCATCCCAGCCCACTTTCAGTTCCTAGGGCTGCCACACCAAATTGCCACAAACGAGGTGGATTAAAATGACAGGACACGGATTCTCTAGCAGTTCTGGGGGCCAGAAGTTCAAAATCAAGGTGCTACCAGGGCTGGTTCTTTCTGAATCCCCTCCACATCCCCTCTCCAGCTTCTGGTGGCTGTGGGTGAGCCTTGGCCCTCCTGGGCTTATAGATGCATCATTCTCGGTCCTCCCAAGGCCTCCACTGTGTGTCTCTGTGTCTCAAATCTCTCCCTTCTGTCTGATAAGGACACTTGTTATTGGACTTAGGGCCCATCCTGAATCCTGGATGACTTCATTCAACCCTCTACACCATTTTATAGATGAGAGGGGCAAGGCGCAGGCCCCTCCCTTGCCCGAGGTCACGGGGCCAGCTCAGGGCACAGCCCTGCCAGGCCTCCTGCCCCTGGCTCTGGCAGGAGGCCTGCCCCCTTCTTGGCTCCACGACTCCCGCTGAGGGCCCGCTTCACAATGGGCAACACATAGAAGAGTCTCTCCCTTCTCTGGCCTCGCTTATCTGTTTTATCAGACCTCCTAGGATCTGACAAAAGATCACACAGTCTCCAGGCCGTGAGAAGGAACTGGGTGGGCAGGAGGGGGTATCTGCAAGTATCTCAAATCAGATGGGGCCCCAAGCTACAGAGGGCAGTTTGCAGGTCCAGACTCCAAAAGTCTGCAGGACAGATCAGAGCCCGGAAGAAAGGGAGTCAGTTTGGTTTCGAGTGCTTGGAAAAAAAAGGCCTCTGTCCTTTTTATGACAGGCAGAATGTCCAGCCTACGGGGTTTTGCATCAATGAAGGTCTCTGGTCCAAAGGGCTCAAGTGAGTCCTCCAGCTCGAGGTGACGGGGAGAAAGCAGGTGTGGACATGGGTGTGCATCAGGGCCTGGCCACACTGGCCACATGACCATGCTGAGGACACCTCCCAGGACAGCTTGAAGGCAGCCATGAGTCCCTCTGACAACAGAAGCACAGCGCCGACACCCAGCAGGGCACCCCCTCCAGCGGGACTGGGGGTTCTGACCAGCCTTTTAGCCCCCAGAGTCTTCCCTGGGACCCTCTTGGAGCCTCTGTTGGTGGTTCAGGACCCCCAAGGGAAGGCAGATCACAGGACTGTCTCCGGGTCATGGGCTTTGACCTATACTCAAATACGAATCTCAAGTCTACGGAGCCCACTCCCATATTGTTATTCATTTTTGATAAAGACCCTGAGAGTTAATAAGCAGCAGACCAAGATTTGTCCCTGGCTCAGATTTATTCAGGAGCTCTGCACCCCCTCACTGCCTCCTTCTCCTTCTCTCCCCATCATCTGTATCTAGGACTTTCAAACTTCCGGTCAGCAACGCATAGCAGGAAACGCATTTCAATCACCATCCAGGTCATATACTCCAAATATAAATAGCTCAAACAAAAACTTCACTCCAATGTGTCTTTATTCCAGTCCACAGCTAGTTCAAAATTTCAAAACACTGGCTGCAACCCACGGAACTGATTTCATATCCTACAAACGCTTTGTGACACCCAGTTTAAAAAATACTTCTCCACATAACTCACATGAATTGACATCCATACAGCACTCAGAAAGAGGAGGAAAAAAAAAATACAAAGAAACACAAGAGGAATCATCCCTGTTCTATGTATTTTGCAGATCGTCCAAAAACTCATCTGTGTATCTGGTTCCCCCACCCTTTGAATCACAAAGTCTGACTTCCTGATCTGCTAATATGATGTCATTGCTTGTCAAGTCCTTTTCCCTCCTCTTAAAATGTTGGAGGTACTCTTGAAGACTAACTCAAGCTGGCCCATAAAATCCTCCCTGAGTGAATTTTCACACCGTGAAGTTCACCTCTGCAGAGATCCCAGGGCATCTCCCAATACATGGAGATGATCATTTTCCAGGAACTGTGTGTCTTGGCCAGCTGAAGTGGACTGAGAAAAGCCTGACAACTCGACTAGTGGATGGAGTGATGGCAAGGACAAGGGCCCCGGGGCTCAGCTCCTGTGTTCTCCACCTTGTTCTACATGGTGGGAAGTCTAAGAAGTATTGCAATTTTCAACTCATTCACTGGTAAGGTACGACACATTGTTTGATAGAGGATAATTCTAACCCAGAAAATACCAGAGCCAAGGCCACAACACCTAAATTCTCACTGATGGTCTGTGCAAAGCTCCCATGAGGACCATCAGAAGGCCTGATCGGACTCAGGATTCAGCCACAAGGATCGGGAATCCACAGATCCTGGTCTGATTCGCAGCCATCCTGGCTGCACCACCAAAACCCAAGACAGACGTGATTATCTGAATCATTCAGACCACGTTCCCATCTTCCTTCCTCTACCTCCACCTGAAGAAACCAAAACCGAAAAACCCTATATTCACCAGATTCCTTATTCTTCCTGTCGTATCTGAAATAGAGCTGGGGTCACAATGTTAATACTGTGTGGATAGTCGAGGCCTGTTTCTTGGTCTTTGAAATGGGACGGCTGTTACTTTCTTAGTATCTACGCCTTCATTACAAGTCATTTCTAACACACCACCATCCTCATGAAACCAGGTCAGGTAACCTTGCTAGAATCTTTGACTGGTAAGCTTGTCAGGGAAGACATAGAAAGGAAGACCCCGGATGGGTCTGAAACCCAGGGCCAGCCTCTTGACCACATGCTTGGCAGTCCTAAGCACACAGGAGAGAGGAGGCCCGGCCTCGGGTAGTCAGGGGCCCACAAGGATCAAACATCCACTTACCTGGTGGGCAGACGCAGGCGGTCGGCGCTTCTCGAACTGTCCGGTGCTTGGCCAGTCCCTCCAACTTCTGAACCAGAAAAAAAAGAGAGGGGGAAAAAAACCAAAAAAACGAGCATGAGTTTGAGAGAGGACAGGGGCAAAGGTGGAAAAATCAGCAAAGACCGATGTATTGGAAAGATCGACGGCGAGGCGGGGGGGTGGCATTGTTGGGCATATAAATATATTTTTTTTTACAAGGGGGTTCAGTGCTACAGATAGTTTTAGTATGAGAGGAGAAACAAAAATAAACATGCAGCAATCACTTGGGAGTCCATGAAAAGAAGGTGGCAGGTTTCTGCTCTGTTACAGCATTTTCTTTTTTTTTTAAATTTTTTAAATTTTTAAAAATGATTTTATTTTATTATTTATTTGAGAAAGAGAGAACATAAGCAGGGGGAGGGGCAAGAGGAGAGGGAGAAGCAGACTCCCTGCTGAGCACGGAGCCCGATATGGGGCTCGATCCCAGGACCCTAGGATCATGACCTGAGCCGAAGGCAGACGCTTCACTGACTGAGCCACCCAGGCGTCCAGTTACAACATTTGCAAACACGAATCCAGAAAAGTCAGAGTGACCGTGTAGTCCGTGTGAAGAGTGGAGGGCTGAGCAGAGGGAGGCTGGGCCTTGGCAGCCAACCCTTGGTCCTCAGATTGGATCCGAACCCAGGACACCCCGGGCCCGCTTGCTGCAGCCCCCACAGCCCATGGGGCCTCAGACGCTAGGCCCAGACCTAATCCGCCCTGATGACATCTTCCTTCCTTCTCACCAGCAGGGATCCTTGGCCTAGAAAATTTGGCTCAGACCATTTAACAATGGACTGTGCTACATTTGGGGGAAGGGAAAAGAATTACCTTAGAAATGGGATCAAACATCCCAGCTCTGCTATTATGCTAACTCAAAGTACGGCTGTGGCATAATCATCACCTGATGGACCAGTCGGAGCAAGCTTGGAGGCCCGGATTGCCATTCCTGCCTCGCACATAGGGGACACGCTTGGAAAAAAAAAGAAATTAATCCCCAAACCCAAATCCAGGTTGAGGAGAGTGAAATGACAGGCCCATAATTCCCAAACAAGTGAAAACTTGAGTCCTAACAAGAAAAAATAAAGTATATTGGGGCGTCTGGGTGGCTCAGTTGGTTGGGCAACTGCCTTCGGCTCAGGTCATAATCCTGGAGTCCCAGGATCGAGTCCCGCATCGGGCTCCCTGCTCAGCAGGGAGTCTGCTTCTCCCTCTGACCCTCCTCCCTCTCATGCTCTCTCTCTCTAATAAATAAATTAAAAAAAAAAAGAAAAGAAAAAATAAAGTATTAACCTTTCCCGAGGAAGCAAACACGTAAAAAAAAATCTCCCTCAAAGCAAAACAAAGCAAATCCCAAATGGGATAACTTGAGTGACAAAATGTGATACTACCACCAGAAGATTTCAACATAAAAATGTAATCTTTCTGGGGATACCCAGGGGGACTCAGTGGGTTAAGCGTCCGATTCTTGGTTCCAGCTCTGGTCGTGATCTCAGGGTCATGAGATCGAGCCCCACGTCAGGCTCCGTGCTCAGCACAGGGTCTGAGTGAAATTCCCCCCCTCCCTCTGCTCCTCCCACTTGTGCTTGCTCCCTCTCTCTCCTCTCTCTAAAAATAAATAAATAAATCATTTAAAAAATGTCATCTTTATCCATAAGAATAAATAAATAAAAATTTAAAATACCTTGACAGCAAGCAAATAAAACTGTTGTTTTTAACTTTTTTTTAAGTCATCTCTGTGCCCAGCGTGGGGCTGGAACTCACAACCCTGAGATCAAGAGTCGCACGATCTACAGACTGAGCCATCCAGGCGGCCCCCGCCCCCCAAACTGTTATTTTTAAAGCACTGCTTTAGAGGAGGTGCAAAGGGCACCCCCAGTTTTGAGCCCCTGAGCACCAGGCCTGGAGTTTGCACAGGAGAGAGGACTCCAGCTGAGCTCGGTCTGCCTCTGGCTGGAGCAGCCCTGGACCGGGAGCTCGGGCCACCTGCCAACACTTCCAACCGCGCCCTCATTTTACAGATGGGCCACAGCGGCTGATGCCCACCAGAGATGGGGTGAAGGCCTGCAGGTTTTGACGGAACACAGGGACGTGGTTATGCACCCCAGGCAGAGGCTGCGTGGCAGGAGTACCGCGGACAGGCAGGGGGCAGACGGTGCTGCCTTTAGCTGCGCTGACTTGTCCATCTTCACTGCACCTCCCCAGTCTTCCCCAAGGCCTCAGCTTGCCCCAGAAGTCAGGACCTGGCTAGGCTCCTGGACGCAGGCTCCCAGCTCCCAACTGGACCCCTACCTGTCATGTACCTCTGCTCTGGAGAACCTGGCCCAGACTGACCCTAGGAGCAGTGCAGGCAGCCCCAGGCTCCAGAGACCCCCAGAGCTGCCCTGGGCACCCCCCTCCCGGGGGTGGGTGAGAACAGCTCCACTAGCAGCTGCAGACAGCAACCCCCCAAGCCCTACAACCCGCCCCCCCCAGCACCCCCCCTCCCCAGCTGGGCAGGCCCTGTAGCCCACTATCCTGATCAGAGCACGGATGCTGCCCACTGATGTGAATACAGGCTGGAGCAGGATCTCAGAACTCACTTTCTTCCCCTCCACTGTATTTGCAGAGACTATTACAGATTTCAAAATGCACACGGCAAACGAATCCAGCCTTCATCGTTTATGCCCGTCAATTTGTGTGAGACGCTCTCATTTGTTTTTATCAGGGCTAGACGGTCTAGAAGCCACACTCGCTTCCTTGTTTGAAACCAAAGCATTTAAGGCTAAAAACCAATTTGCTTTTAACAGCCGATCACATCTGGGCCGCTCTCCTAAAAGGGGGGGACGCTTTATCAAATACTGATAGGAAGCACAATTACTTCCAAACTGCTCTTATCGTAAAATAAAAAACTAAACAGGAAACTATGGGAGGGGGGAATAACCTCATTGTTAATGCTAGTAGGTGAGGTCATAACGTAATGGGATCGAGGTTTTGTTTGGTTGCTGACTCTAACTCCGTCTATGCGGGTGTTTCTCTGGATTACACGGATTACAGTTTTATCTGCTAGTCCCCTGCCCCCCGCATCCTCCCTCTCCAGGCCCCTAACTTTCTGTGGGTTTGAAATGCCACTGCTATGAACAACTTTTGAATTAGAAACCCAATCCCACAATCTTTATTTCCATGCTTCGCTTTTTCTTCTTTAATTCTAAGAAAATATTCTTTTGTGTCCAAGTTTGTAAAAATGATTTAAAGGCCTCAATTTTTTTTTTTTTTTTGCCTTCAATTATCTGGCAGCACCCCTCGCATCTGCAAACAATATGGTCCTGGTTTTGCATATGCAAACATGTCCTGACTCCAAAAGTAAATAAAGGAGGAGTTTTTAGAGAATAGACCCTGAGACTTTGGGAGCGTTCCCTCCACCAGCTGCAGAGGAGAACTTGAAGTTTGCGGTGGGGGAGGGGCAGCGAGCGCAGAGGGGAAATCGTGGTTCTCAGAAAAGCATTACACTGTTAGATGATAAATTTACTAATGACCTGTGGGAGCACTAGTCTGGGACGCTCCGCCAGATGTCTGATCACAGCCTCAAACGAGTGCATTTTGATGAAATATAGATTAATACATGTAGAAGGATGTCCCTATTTATTTCTGTAAAATGGGACAAATAAAGCCACAAAGCCATTCCTATCCTCTTTGACAGAAGATTCCTGCTCTAGGGAAGAAATCTCAGGAAAATAAAAGTCAGCAGGAGCAAAGAATAGTACGCATGAGTTTGTGCCCCTCCCCCCCAAACAGTGGGAGTGATTTAGAAAAGGATGGCCAACTGCCCCCTGATGAAACTGTCATATTTCGTGAAATGTCATTAGGAACACTATGTAGCAAGGGGGGGATGTTTATGATATCATAAATAAAAGGTCTCTATCTGTGTAAAAATTTAGGCATGGGGTGGCAGCAACTACCAAAACATGAACCCTCCTGGCTGTTGAGATTGACTTCTTTAGAAGTCCCTACTGTGTTGTCAGACCATATTCACAGTTTAAAAAAAAAAAAAAAAAAGCGTGGAAGTAAAAGAAGAACCAAAATGAAGCCCTCAAGTCTCCCCACCAAGGATAATTTGTGAATGATGGACAGATGATTCTAGCACCACAAGTACCATTTTACAGAAATAATCCTCTGGCCTCCTCCCGCCCCCACAGGGAGGGGCCCCTGCGTGCATTGTCGATGGCCCCAGCATCCCAAGAGGACAGTGAGATCTGGCCTCTGACATTCTTTTTTTAATACCTCATCATGGAGATGAGGAGGATAACAAACACAAAGTATTATTACTGAGTTACTAATTACTTATAATGGGCCAGGCACTGTGCCAACAGCTGTTACCTCATTCAGACCTGCCAAGAACCTTCTCCCCCCCCCCCCCCCCCCCCCGTCACCACCACGAGGCGGGGTTTATTATTATGCCCATTTACGGATGAGAACATTGAGACATAAGCATCAGGGTGGGACCTGCATCCTGCTATCAACCAACTTGAATCACAGAGCATGGCAACCTCTGCTTACAAACAATCTTCATATCCCAACCAACCAACCAACCAACCAAACAAAAAGTTTTGATCCACCACCAGGCCAGACAGAACGAAAAGGGCAGAAATCAGATCTGAGGCTGCTGAAGGTTGAGGAATGTGAGGTGTGAAGTACAAGGAGACACAAGGAGACAGTGTGAGGCTGATGGAACTGTTCTGTATGGCACTGAGGTGCTGGATACACAGCTCTGTGCATTTGTCAAAAACAGTAAGACTGGGGCACCTGGGTGGCTCAGTCAGTTAGGCGTCCACCTTCAGCTCGGGTCATGATCCCAGGGTCCTGGGATCGAGTCCCTCATCGGGCTCCCTGCTCAGCAGGGAGTCTGCTTCTCCCCGTCCTGCTGCTCCCCCTGCTTGTGCTTTCTCTCTCTCTCTCTCTCTCAAATAAATAAATAAAATATTGGAAAAAAAAACAATAGACTGGACGTCACAAAAAGTGAACGTTAACGGA